GAAGGGTCCGAGCTGTTACAAAACGTTATCTTAATGCTGACAGTCTTAAAAATCGATCCTGAATAGGAGTAGTTACTCGGTTTCTTCCTTGTCCCGGCCTACGACCATGATTTCCAGTCTCTCTATATCTTTGTATAACTCGTGAAACGGTTGTGTGGGTTACGTCAAATCGTTCACCAATTCTTCGGTAACTCCAACCCTCTTCAAACAATATTAAAGCTTGAGCACATTCTTCGCGAGTAAGATTTCGTGGCATATTGTTTAATAATTTTTTTTGCAAAAAATGGCGAATGGACTAAATACTGACAATATGCATCTGTATTTGACAATTACTGGTTTTTCCATAGCATGCTACTTACTTTAGTGCTTATAATGCTAATGCAAATGAATAAAGTCATGTTAAGTTATAAAATTGAGTTTCTCGTGTAATAGGAAACATAATGGAGTAAATAAAAAATGAAATTGTTGAGAGAAGATAAGGCTAAATTGTGATATCAATGCGAACTTGGTAATGTAACTATTGCGCTCTACAGGGTGTTACAACTTTTATGAAAAAATCACGCTATAATTGCTACACCCTGTATTAATAAAAGAGGATTTTATGCAAACACAGTTAGCAAACCGACGTTGTGGAAGAGGCAACCAGTCATTTAAAAAAAATCGTCCAAAACAGACAAGTGGTTTTGACAAATATTTACTTTAAACTTTTTGTTATTTTTCGATGGTGCATTAATTTATTGGGGAAGTGTATATAGCCAATTTAAAATATTATTCAAAATCCTACTGAGATTTTGACTGCAATTTACATAAAATAATTTATTTACACACTTAAAAGCCAAAACACTAATTTTATGTAACGTCTTAATATTTTTTAAATAGTTTTTGTTGTGTAGTGGAAAATTTATAAAAGTGGACTTTGCTACATTTGATATTAGACGCCTGATATAGTCCTATGGAAAGTGCCCTATATCATACGCGCATGAATAAGAATTTACTTTTACTTGTGCGAATATGCTACTTTCCGCATCAGCTGTTATAAAATGTCAAACGCATTTCTATTTTGATCTATGTAATGTCCATATTAATACTAAAATCGATGTGATTGTTAAATTATTGAAATTGTTATAAATTAGATCCTAGATATTTATCTTTAACCATTATTATTAAAATAATTTTAAAATAACTAAGTTACGTTTGCTTTTTATTCTGGTTAAACCACTGATCTGTATTATTTTACTGGATAGGATATAGGCTATATTTAACATACTAAAAAACCGTTCCAACAAGGAGACCGGAAGTGCAACAATGCTGGCCGATTTGGGCAAATTATGGTGGGTTCACAGAACTGAAATTTGGGATAATTTGACATACCTAACCTATAATTTAATTAATTTTTCTTCTTATTCTTCTTCTATTCCTTTTGCGGGCGATATCCTTCGGGAAAATTCACCGATGATTTGATTTTTTATGAAAAAAAAAATATAAAAATGGAAACGTGAAGCATATTGTGTCTTCAGGAATGAACGTTTAATGTTAAATTCATACTCTTTTTACTTTGTTTTCCACAATTAAAACATCTCATCGTAGCTTGTTGACACAATTAAATGACAAATCTGATGACAAATGGAAATAGAGGTTACGTTAAATAACATCCGGTCCGCCATATTATTTGCCCAAATCGGCCAATTTTTCGGAACGTTTTTTAGGGGGCTATATCCTATCCAGTAAAATAATACAGATCAGTGGGTTAAACACATAACCGATTAGATCATTCAATTGACGCAAGGTCTATTAGCTCAGGTGGTAGAGTATCAAACTTTATTTACTTTGCCATTTGAGACCTGGCGAGCTACTCCATTCAAATTCTTGGGGGGGCAGAATTTTTTTTTAATTTTTTAGTTTTTTTTTTTGTTTAGAAAATATGAAAATTAAATAAATACGATTATTGTTAATTATTTTTTTTTAAATACATTTTAATTATTATAATAAACTGGTTTAACATTTTTTGATGAAATTATTTTGTGGTCGTAGGAAAAATATTGTACTTCACTTGTGTGAAAAGTGAATTTCCACACTCATAATGTAATATACTATATTACACAGTTTTTATTATATTTTTTACCTGTAACAAGTTGCGACTGCAGGATTTTGTAGTTTATTGATCAGCTTTTAGTTTGTTGTATTTTATATGTATAAATAAATTATTATTATTATTATTATATGCATCATTTTATTGATAAATAAAAAGTTATTCTCAACGACTTCTAGTGTTTATATCGCTTGTTAAAGTTATTTAGTTTTCAAAAAATGGTCATTTTTATCGTCTATTGTGTTTTATTTTGTGATAATTTAGAATGGAAAATAATGATCAAAACAACATTATTACTAAAGTCTATTCAAATTTAATTTACGCCTGATGTAAACAGAAGCAGGTGGACGCTAAAATTAAGCAGGGACGGATTTTACTTTTCCGTCTTGCAAAATTGTAAAATAAAAGAGTGTAATTGTGAAATTATTTTTTTATTACGATAAAAACATATTTTGTAAAGTAAAACTATAAAATAAATGCCATACACGGTCTCCCAGACTTTAGTGACATTTCTGGACGAAGATAGGTGAGCGACATAAATTGCGTTAACCTGCAATACAAATTAATAAATGTATTTGACTTTAAAAGAGATGGTTGCATTATAATTAGTTCATTACATATGTCTACTGTGATACAGAGCACTAAAACAGTCATATTATAAAATTATATTGTACAGGGTGTCCAAATAATTACAAATTCTTTAATAGCTAATATATATCTACTAAAAGCATTAAAACAACTTTAAATATAAGAGGTATTTGAATTTGGTATTTGATTTAAAATTGTGCATCTTAAAAAGAAACCTTTTGTATTTTTGATAACTTTTGTTCTTTATTGTTCTTGTTCTACTAGTATTTAGATTAGACAACTTGTACCCTGTATTATAGCAATCTTCCTTACTTGACTTAGCACTATTCTGAATCGGATAAATTAGTTAAACTTAAAAGGCTATCTTCATTAATCAAAATTATAAGTGGTTCTACCTGAACCTCTATAATATTATCCAACTTCTGGAGAAATTAATAATATTACTTCTTCAAAAAGAATTTTAATGTCTCCAGATTTAAATGTTGAGTTTTTATCTGCTACGTATTGTTTAACGTCAACCTAGATTAATTCAATAGGGTTAAGTTCACAATGATACGGAGACATGTGAAGTATTATGTTGTTTTGCTGCTTAGCCATTTCATCTATTACATACCTATCATAATGTTTATGTTGCTTACCAAGTTTTAGAAGTTGGATCTTAAGCATTTGGTAGTCGAATTTAAGTTTTTCCCCTTATAGTCATTTTTAAATATCACCTTTTTTAGACGTCGTAGATATTTTTTCCAGCTTTCTCGAATAATAATGCAGTTATCTTCTAATTTTGGTAGGGTTTTGAAAACCACTCTTTGAACGATTCTCCACACATTTCTTCGTGGTAGTCACAGGATTTTTCAATTCAAATACATAAAGTGCATTAGAGACAAAGCCTTCTTCACTTCCAATATGGCATATAATGAGCTGTTTTTATGCACATACCTGATGGGTTTTTAAAATCAGTTAAAAGTTCATCCAAAAAGGCTTGTCTGGATGAAAAAACCGACATATCCAAACATACTTTTGATTTGGTGTGGCCTGCGTTAATCCAAGTCTCATCAAGATAATATATTTTTTGCTTTTCTTCTCTGTACCGTTTTATTTTTTGTGGCGTAGGACGAAACAATTCCATTTTTCTCTAAAAGCAAACTATTTTTTCCTCGAGTTTTAAATTTAAAATTAAGGGTTTTGAAAAGCTTGTAAAATGTAGTTCGCTTAAAAGTAGACAAATATGGATCATCGTTGACTTCTTATAAAACCTTATCAATTGTTGGAAGTTAATTTCTAAAGAAGAATTGATGTACTTTGCGCCTTATTGCATTTTTATCAAAATCATCCACGGAGCCACTAATTTATTTATAACGTAGCTTTCTTTTTGGTTCAGAAAATTAATGAATCTGCCTATACTCCTTCATAACATTAAAAACGGTTTTAGCGCACATCCCTGTTTTATCAGCAACTCTCCTTTCAACATCATGTACCAACATATCAGGGTTCTGTAAAATTTAATGCTTATAAATATTAAGAACCATTTCTTTAGTACGGATGACCAAATGTCCCTTTTTCAGGCGCTTTTTAGAAGGAGTAAAAACATTTTTCTGGACTTCATCTGCTGTATCTGTGGAGGACATAGTGTCACGCAGCAATTACAAAATATAGTCAATTAAATGTCCATAAAATAGAGTAAACCATGTTCAAACTAACAACAACCACAAAAACAAAAAAAATAAATAACACAATATATGTATATCTAAACTATAATATAATGAATTATAATCAATCAAACACACAAAATGTCCAAACCAACCAACACGGTGAATGCTACCAAAACGCCGTTTATAATTATCCAAATTGAACTGAATTCGACTCTGACAAAAAATATTTGCGCGTCGTCCAAATGACTAACGACCGATTAACCAATAGAAGCGCAAAAAAATGTCACGTGAGCTGTTGTTGGATGGGAGAAAGTGTTTTGACGCGGCGTAAATGAAATCTGAATAGACTTTAGGTTTTAAGTTTAACCAAATTCTATTTTTATAAGTCAACCTGCCCTTTTTTATATAAACTTTCAATATTAATTAAACCAAACAAGGTTTTTCTTTTCTTTTCAAAATTGGCGACAATGGATTTTTTGTAACCAGTTTTACAATGTTTGACATTATGTAACTGGTTGCGTAAAGTAGTTCATTTTCAAACTGACTACGATTACAAAAAAGTCACTGTATACATCAAAATTAGAAAAATATAATAATGTTGAAAACGCCCAAATTAAAAAATTTAATTCAACTGAATCTCCAAAAAAGACCTTAAGACAGAAAATAAAAGACTAATTTATTAAAAAAATCAAAAAAGATTTATTAATAATATTCTCAAGTATAATACATGTTTCAAAAATATACAAATATATCACAAAATACTGTCGATTTCAGTAATAGCCATTAAAATTAAAATCTTTACATAACTATCTTCTTAAAAAAAACCCTAACCGACACGGTTCATTTACATTAATTGGCACATACGTGTATCTATTCATTACGTCAAAGGTGTAAAACAGATTTATTTAAAAATATACAATATACAAAACTTATTACTATAATTTAACACTTACAATTTAAAAAAGAAAACGAGGAAGATGGTCGCATTAAGTATCATATTAAAACTTAAAAGTAGGTAATTAGAATGGCAGGATTTTTTTACTAATACCGGGCGACAATGGGGCCAGCGCCAAACTTAATTTACGAGAAATATGGTGTTGTAATAAAAATTTTTGAAACAAGAAACATTTACTATGGCTACAGTAACCACCAAATTTTAAGTAAATAATTAAGTAACGTTTAGTTCTGGTGTCGGTATTGTTTGTTGAGAAAGCAACACTGTATAGTTCTTGTTTAGTATTGTCATATCTTTTTAATTGTCTAATTTCTGTAGTTTAGAGTCTAGATTGTCTTTGGCCTTACGCAAGACTTGATTCGTCTTGTGAATTTGTTTGCAAACCGATTTCTCAACCTCTTTTTTACGTTGGTTCGTTAAATTCAGTTGGTTCGTAATCTCTTCAACAGCCCTCCTCATTCTTAGTAGTTTCCTTTTGAGATCCATATTTTCTTGCGCAATATCTAATGTCCTTTGGCAGCAATGTTGTGAATCTGTAAAATAATTTAGTGGTTTAAAATTATAAGTCCGTATTTTTAGATTAACTTTTCATTTAAACAATGTAATTGAATTAACCTTTCAGTCACCGCGCGTTCATTACGATGGACATCAATTTTCTACAAATTTTATAACATTAAAATCCTTCCTTTTTAAATAAGTCACTTTGTCCATCTGCATGTACATGCATAAAAAACGTATACAGGGTGATTCATAAGTACTTTGACAAACTTCAGGAAATGATTCTTTGAGTAATTTTAAGGTAAAAAGTTCATGTAAACATGTGTCCGGAAATGGAAAGTTTTAAGAAAAAAAATCGTTTTTTTTTTTCATATCTTTCATACCACTGAAGATAATTTAATGAAATTTGGTACACGTTGTTTTACCATAAAATGACATTTTCTGATGCTATTAGCTTTTTTTTAATTTCATCAGTGGCGTCCCTACGGTATTTAAACTAAATACACCGGCACACAAAAAAAAAGTTGTTTGTACATCAGACACGACCTACCAAAAATTTGTACAATAAACGAAATTAAATTGTATTCAAATAAATTGTTGAAAGTATCCACCTTTAGCGAAGATACGGGCATTCAATCTTCTAGTCATTGAATCTCGTACTCGCTCAAAAATTATTGGTGTGTTTCTTATTCTTTCACAGGCGTCTATTACTCGGTTTCTTAGTTCTTCCTCGTTTGCTACTGGAGTTTCATAAACTAATGACTTCATATGTCCACAAAAATAAAAATCTAACGGGTTTAGATCTGGGGACCTTGGTGCCCACGCCTGGTTAGGTTCTTCTACACCCCTACCGATCCATCGATTTGGATAGACAGTGTTAAAGAATTCCCTGGCTACAACGCTGAAATGGGCCGGAGCCCCATCATGCATAAACCACATTCAGATACGATTTTCTAAAGGTACATTCTGAAGTAATCCCGGCAATTCGTTTTTTAGAAAGTGTCTGTAAGTTTCTCCATCCAGTCGGAGCGGAAGAAAGAAAGGGCCTATCAAATAATCATCAATTATTCCCGCCCATACATTTACAGAAAATTGATACTGAGAATGTCTTTCACTAATTGCGTGCGGATTTTCTAGAGCCCACACATGGTTGTTATGAAAGTTTGTGATAGTATTTTTGGAGAAATTTGCCTCGTCCGTGAAAAGTACATATCTTAAAAATTGAGGATTTTCAGCCAATTTTCTCAAAAACCACTGACACATATTAATGCGTTGAGGAAAGTCTCGTGACAAAAGAGCTTGCACCCTTTGAATATGGTATGAATACAATTGTTGATCGTGGATAATTCTCCAAACTGTGGACTGAGTAGAATTGAGAGCTTCAGCAATTATTCTTGTACTTGTTTCTGGATTCTCCTCCACAGCGTTCAAAACAGCTTCTTCCAATTCTGGGGTTCGGACTGCACGTGGTCTTCCAACAATATCAGCTGCCCTCTTAAAGCGACCTGTTTCGGCCAAACGACGGTGGAGACTGGAAAATCTTGGAGCTGAAGGCAGTACTCGATTAGGAAATCGATCCTGGTAAATACGTCTCGCTTCGCGCGCATTGCCATCCGCAAGGCCATAAACGAAATGCATCTCAGTTAAATAGGCATTATTGTCTAAATAATCCATTTTTCTAAATGAGTGTTTTAAAATTTACAGAAACTTCACCAATTCAATGATAAAGCCAAAAAACAACAAGGAGTGTTTAACTGTCACATAATGTGTTGTTACCATAAATACTTACCTAAATGTCAAATTCATTTCTAGGCCTCTTGTGAAAACAAAATAATGCTAATAACTTCAACATGCGTCGATTATTAAGTAAATGACTTGAAGATTTCAAGTCCAAATATCTAGAAAACGTAACGACTTCTAACAAGGGTAGCTTTTTTACATAAATTTGATAGGGAAATCGATTTTTTTACTGAAAAATGTGCTAGAAGTACGCTCAAAATTTTTTTAGCGATTTAGTCACGTATGAAAATGGTTTTTATTTTTTTACGCGAAAACGGTGCGTCTTACGAACAAAAGTCAAGAGATCAAATTTGTTCCAAATTAAATGTAGATTTTAAAAATAATATTTATTTTTTAAAAAACCAGTGGCGTACCATTTTTTTCTTATTATTTAGTTTAAATACCGCACGCCACTGATGAAAATAAAAAAAAATTAATAGCATCAGAAAATGTCATTTTATGATAAAACAACGTGTACCAAATTTCATTAAATTATCTTCAGTGGTATGAAAGATATGATAAAAAACGATTTTTTTTCTTAAAACTTTAACACCCTGTATCTTGAAAACCATCCATTTCCGGACACATGTTTATATGAATTTTTTACCTTAAAATTACTCAAAGAATAATTTCCTGAAGTTTGTCAAAGTACTTATGAATCACCCTGTATAATGCATGTGGGGCTAGCTATTACCAAAAAGAGAACTTTACAACGGTTGTATTAATGTCGGTTTGTTGTTGTCAGATCTATTTGTTTACACGTTCGCAATAAAAACGTTATGAAACCGTAATATTTGTATAAAATAAGTGCTGTTGGCCACTGTTGGTAAGTAAAAACGATGATTTAGTTATTGCTGAAAATATTGACAGTAAAATCTTGATATAGACGTTTGAATTAAGAGTGTCCATTATAGACTCTTGTTTCATGAAAGAAGAACCCAGCTGAAGTTACAACAATGACAGTCGCAGAAACCAAATTATGTCTCGTTTACCTACATCAATTAGTAACAACAGGGTCACGCCACTGGCGTAGAACGAACATTTTTATGCCAACACCCATTTATTTATTCGTTAGGGACGTTAGCTTTTGACATTTAAGGTTATGTTTTTGGAATAGCCTATTTGTTAAATATTTTTGATTTTCAACTATTTTAAGACGTTTGTATACCAGATAAAATTGTTAAGGCGGCCACCCAAGCAACGTTTGATTTAATCCCGTCGAAGTCCGGGACACGATAGATAAGTAATGCTAATAATTGTACGTTTAATATAACTATTCAAAAATAATGTTTATATTTGTAAACCAAAAATTAACGATTGTTAAAAAAAATTGTTAAAATTAGTTAATAAAGAGTTCTTGTTATAAAAATGTAAACTGAATAATATGAAGTTTATGGTACAACAATGCCCGTTTTAAAAAAAATATTGTACGTAATACGTCCCAAAAGTGCTTTTACTGGACTCGCAGGCTTGCAGGACTCGCCTGCGGCTCGCCCTGCAATTTGTCCACTCGTCCAGTAAAAGACCACTTTCGGGACTTGTTAAGTAAGATATTTTTAGTTTACCTACCACACATATCATTTCGCACTGAATTATCATCTAGCATGTTGTTCATCGACTGTGTCAACTCGAGCGTCTGCAGCAAAGGCCGCCTGGTTATATTAGTGTGTAATTCCAAACTGGAAAATCTGCCTTGGTCACTTTCAATTCCCAAGTCGGGGGATGCGTTGGCTTCTTGCCTCTCCGTGTCCACTACTGGTTGTCTATTGCTAGCTATTGAAGCGTTCACATTGCATCTAAAAAAAAATTCATTACATTATTTATGTTACCTGTGATAGCATTGGGTTTATGAGTGACAAAGAAGCAATTATTGTAAATAAAGTTGAGGGATTATAAGTATATATCGATGATTTATTTACTTATTTAAAATATTCCACTCTAATTGTTCCATTTAATGAGTAGGAAAATTACAGCATTTATACAGGGAGTTAGTAAATAAGTGCGACAAACTTCAGGGGGTGATTCAGCATGAAAAAATAATGACAGTTTGCTATATAAACGTATGTCTGAAAATGCTTCGTTTTCCGAATACGGGGTGTTAAAGTTTTTCTTAAAAACTGACGATTTGTTTATTGCTCTGAAACCGGTCAAGATATGCCCCATACGAAAAGATTTTTTGTCACAGATTGAACGAGGAACTCAAAAATGATTTTTAATTTGAAATATCTCAGTGGCGTACCATTTTTTTCTTTAAAATAATTGAGAGCATTACCCCTATGCGCGCCAATGATGAACATAAAGTCTTAAAGCCCACCAAATTTAATTTGCATATCTCGACGGGATTCAGAGCAATAAGTAAATCATCAGTTTTTAAGAAAAACTTTAACACACCCCGTATTCGGAAAACGAAGCATTTTCAGACATACGTTTATATAGCAAATTGTCATTATTTTTTCATGCAGAACCACCCCCTGAAGTTTGTCGCACTTATTTACTAACACCCCATATATTATTCTAACACGAAATATAAATATATAATTGAAATACACGCGAAAACAATAGTATTACGGTACAAATCATGCACTGTATACAATTTTTGTGTAGAGCGCATGGTTTGTACCGTAATATTACGGTTTTCGCGCATGGTGGAACAACTTAAGTCCAAATTCAACGCGTTGTCAATGACAAGTGACGGCGACTTTTTTATCACAAAAAATACAGCTCTGAACGATATTTTCCGTTTTTATTTTCTTTATTTGGCTAGTTTGCTAATATCACAATATTCAAATTTAGTCAACAATAATGTAATATAGTATTTGCATAATGGTCTATGAATTTCATTTGTTTCCAAATAATTACCCCTAAATATTTGAATTTTTCTACTAACTGTATAGAATTTCCTCCAATTTCCTATATTGTTTGTCCACAAACTGCAATTGTAATTACTTATCAGCACATATTTTGTTTTATTTGTGTTGATTTTTAACAAATAATTGCAACACCATTTATAGGCGGGGTTGGTTGTAGTTTAGCCATTGCTTTGTAGCTTAGATTGCTTGCTTGTTTGCTTGTCCGCTTGTAGGTAACTCTTTCTGCATGCCAATGGAGAAATGCAATCATCGAGTGTCTGCCTCCTCGTGGCACCGCTGGATACGTTAATATTGCTGCTCTATAAACAGCACTATTAACTAACTAAATGGCACTCCATCAATACCCCAAGCCAAGGTATAAGGCAACGTGCTGAAGGCTGAATGGCCGCTGGGAAAGCGGTTTAGAACGTTCCTCTGAGGGCACCTGGCGAAACCCTCTTGTATCCAGCCTTGCCAGCGCATGCGGGGCTCTGCGTCGGTCGACTTTTGTAAACTAAAAGTAAAAAACCGGCGGGACTACACCGCCACTAAATCTGATCAAACGGAGCCTGCCATCCGAAGCGATCAACCTCCCTCAACCTCTCAAGTGAGAGAACCTCACAAGAAAGAAGTGGGAGAACAAAAGAAAGAGGTGAAGGGAGAAGAGAAGAGGAGCACCATCGCTTTATCTTCTCCATCCTCCTCTAACCACTCATCGGCGAGGGAAGCTCCCCTCCAAAAAGAATCTAAACGGAAGCTACCTTCCTTACCTCCACTGGGACGACCTGGTGGAAGAGACGCCACACTGAGGCATGGACTCAGTGGGGCAGGGGTTCGGTGGTATCTTCGCTACCTCGTTCAGGGCATGACATCGGAGGAAGCGAAAAAGAAAGCTGTGAAGCACAAATCCCAGGGAGAGGAAAGTAAAACCAATCCTAAGGATCTGAAAAGAAAGCGGGACGGGAATAACACAACACCACCGCAAAGAAAAAAAAAAAGAAAAGTGGCCGATACTTCCGCTTCTAGCAGCTATGCAACTGTCGTGAAGACGGAGCGGGTCGCGATCCTATCTAAGGGGTTCCCTGAGACCATCCTCAGTGCGAACAAACAAACCTTGGTGGAAGAAGCCATAGTAGAAGAGATGTTCGCTGGATGGGAGCATAAGCTCTAATTCGGAGGCATCCACTTCCGGCCAGGAATGGTCTTAATCGACGGTGAAACCCCACAGTTAGCAGAATGGCTCAGGGCAAAAATCCCACACCTGAGCAACTGGAAGGGAGTGGAGTTGGAGGTATATGCAGGAGACGACATTCCGAAAGCACATACAGCCAAGCTCTTTCTCCCAAGAAGTCAAGGGCAGCCTGTAGAGAAGCTTCTACAGTTAATAGAAGCGCAGAATGTGGGGCTATCGACCACATTGCGGAAAATCGTCAGCCAAAAAGACGAGGGCAAAGGCCAGATCCTTAGGTTAGGAATAGATGACCTATCCTGCCAACGGATCAAGGATAATGGATGCACTATCCACTATCGATTCGGGAAAATCCCCGTACACGGCCTTCAAAAGAAAGAGGAAATAAAGGAACTGGGAGAAACAACAGAACCAACTCCTAGTACTTCCAAAGATGTGACTGATCTGTAAAAAGAGCACTTGCATACAGATGCACTCCGAAAGCTTGGGAAAATACCCAAGCATCTTCCAGGCGGAAATTCACGCCATCGAGAAGTGTATCCAGTTTAACATCGAGAGAAACTATCATAGACAAGAGATTATCATCATATCCGATAGTCAAGCAGCCATCAAAGCGCTGAGCTCTTACGTAATCAGCTCAAAAATGGTATGGAGATGCCTAGAACAATTGAATGAGTTAGGCGAGAAAAATAGAGTTACTCTCACTTGGATCCCGGGACATAACGGGGTACAGGTTAACGAGATTGCAGATAGTCTTGCAAGGAAAGGAGCTCAAACATCATTTGTAGGACCTGAGCCGTTCTGCGGTATCAGCACTAACTTAATATTAGGAGAGATTAAAAAAGAATTGGGCAGTAGAAGAACCGATAATTGGAACAATCTCTTGGGGCTGAGATAGGCCAAAATACTTTTGGGTGAATATAACCAGAAAAGATCGAAAGGCTGCATCTGCCTGAGCAAGAACAGGGTACGTATTGTAACAGGGATCCTTACCGGGCATAGCCGACTAAAAGGACACCTAAGTAAACTGAAGAGTAGTAGGGGATAGTGAGTACAGATTCTGCGAGGAGGAGGATGAAACCTCCATTCACATCCTAACTGAATGTGTAGCACTCCAGAATCCAAGGGCACTATATCTAGGAGGATATCAAATAGAAGAGAGAGATTTACCTAACTTGAAGCCACTTCAAATCCTACACTTCCTTGAGAAAATAGGATTGGAAGGGTCATTATAGGCACTGAGACATTTCCTTACTGCATTGGCGAGAGAAGGGGGCACAATAGATCTTTTAGGTCGCAGGGTATTAAATCCCCATTCTCAACACAACATAACACCATTTATACACATTTTGCAGAGTTTCATTAACAACTCTTACTAAGTTATCTGAATCTTTACACTTAAAAGAAACATAGATAAGAACATCAACAGCAAACAAGTAAATGTCATATTGACCCTTGAGACATCAACAATGTCATTGATATAAATTAAAAATAACAGGGGACCTAATTTTCTTCCTGTGTAACACCTTTAATGTAGTTAATTTTTTCTGATCAGGACAGTGCGAAATCGACATTACATACAGAATAGAGAGATATTAAATTCGCTGTCTATCGAACAAAGATAGGAGTCTCGATAGGACACGTACCGAAAGATGAAAATTTCACTGCATATGTTATTTAATTTTAACCTCTCTGTCCTGTTACTTAGATAATTTAAACGCTAGTCTAATACATACTTTATAACATAGATATAAAAAACAGCTTTATACCCATACTTTTTAATTTTTTTATCAACAGAATCAAATGCATTTTGAAGAAATACAATTAATTTTTCATTCTACATATGGCGGGTTGTACAATAAGCAGTTAAAATGTAGACTTAGTTTAAACTGTGAACCTTGGTTCATCAGTTAATAGGTTTGTTCGTAGAGCGATTTACAACCGTTTCTAACTAAACAGCGCATGCGTATTGAAAATTTTGCGTTCGCAGAAGAATCACTGATAGTTTCCAGTTATTAGTTTGGCGTCCGTAGAAACAAATGAAGTGGTTGCCAACTGATTGGGAACGGTGGGAAAAATCTGATTATTCTTCGGATTTTAAATCCGGGGCATGGACACATGAAATATTTTTAATAACCCACAATTTGACATTTGTTTAGCTTGAAATTTACGTCTGTTTACGTGTTTAACATTCGATCATGCTTATGTTGATTTGATTCGTTGTTTTTTAATTTTTAGTTTTTGGTGTTTGTGTTTCTTGTGATAAACATTTCTATTCGATTTTGGATTTTTTTATATATCTAGTCAAATCTAGTGTATATTTAAACTGCAAACAAAATACATTTTTTTTTACTCCTGGGCTCGTCTGACTTATGTCCCCGAATAACACTGAAGCCTATTGGCTTATTGTGTTTTACCTAATGTTAGTTCATAGCACCCACTCTGTCACCTTTGTACCTTGTACAAGTTTGTACAGATCCTTGGGTGAGTAGGTTCTATACATTACTGGATCAACCTGGGGTTGTCCAAAAAGAGCCTGTCTTTTGCGATCTAGAGCTTCGCATTCGCACATTATGTGTTTGGACGTTTCTGGTTTCTTGTGACATAGTCGGCACATGAGTTCCCCATTGTGCATGCCAATTTTGTTCAGGTGTCCCTTTACTGGAGCGGGCTCAGTCATAAACCCTGTTATCACTTTCAACTGGTTCCTATTCATAAAGTGTAGTTCTCCAGTTCTTTTGGGACATAGTCTGCCTAT